GGTACTGTGGGAAGGGGGATGGGCTAAATAGGTAAGGGACACTAAGGAATCTACTCCTGAAATCATTGTTGCACTATATGGTAACTAATTTGGATGTAAATTTAAGAAAATAAAAAATAAAACAAGTTAATAAAAAATAAATAAAAATATTTTTATTTTTAAAAGTTTATTTTATTTTATTTTTAAAGTGACTTTTATTTATGTTTTTAATATATGAAATTTATTGTCAAATTGGTTTCCATGCAACACCCAGTGCTCATCCCAAAAGATGCCCTCTTCAATAACCATCACCTACCCTTCCCTCCCTCCCACTAAAAAGTTTATTTTAAAATATTATTCTAAATAACATAAAAATTGCCCAAGAAAAAAATATATATGTCTTTCAGTCCATAAAGTACACATATTGGGTAAATGTGCCATTCCTGAGTTTTCCATTTAGAACACTGTCATTTTCCAACTGAATAAATTCTAATTTAGAGTCTATAAACTCACCTGAAATAAGATTGGTATCTCAAGTTCTTTACCAAAGCATGAGCCTAAAATACGGACTTTGGTTTTAGCCTCTTGTTTGTTACCATTCTCAGTACTTTTTCATAGTAATTCAAAGTGGGTATGCAAATCTCTTAAAATCCAGAGTACTACTGGAATGCTATGGGGGCTTATCCTTGAATAGTTCCCAAACTTGTTTTCTTAGTGAAACAAAATGCCTTTTGGCTTGCTTTAATTCTTTCTCTTTCACTTTGCTTGATAATAAAGCAACCAATTAATTCTCCAAGTAGTTACCATGAAATCTTCCCAAATAAGAATTTCCTTTTGGGTTAAAGTTCTCCATTCCTTATGCCAATTAAGGATGTGTGTGTGTGTGTTTAAAAACAAAGACAAGTGAAGACAGCCAAAAGCTCAGCTTTAGTAATATCCCTTCCATCTATACTTTATTCCTGAGACTCATTTTCCATGAGGGTTTCCATTCTCCATAAAGTTTCTCGTAAGGAGGTAATATATAATAGAGGTCTAAAAGTTATCATTGAAAAAGCAACTAATTCATTATTTTAATGTTCAGTAAATTTATCTGATTCCTCAATTTTATAATATTAGTAAGTGCATTCTTCTCAAACTCATAAAATTAATCACTCTTCCTTTTGACCTGGGCCTTCTCTGGTATCAAAAACAAGGTCACTGTTTACTCTGTGCTTCTTATGTGGCAGGCAGTGAGCTAAGGGACTTATTTATCATCTCATTTAGTTGTCTCAGTAACACCATACTTATTTCCTAGATGAGGAAACCACAGGGTGCCTGAGTGGCCCAGTTAGTTGAAAGTCCAACTCTTGATCTCAGCTCAGGTCATGATTCTAGGGTTGTGGGGTCCAGCTCTGAGTCAGGATCTGTGCTGAACATGGACCTGCTTGACATTCTCTCTCTCTCTCTGTCTCTCTGCCCCTCTCCCCTGCTCAAGCTTTCTCTCTCTCTCTCTCTCTCTCTCTCTCTCTCTCTCTCTCTCTGTGTGTGTCTCTCTCTGTCTCTGTCTCTGTCTCTCTCTCAAAAAATAAATAAATAAAAACATAGATGAGGAAGCTGAGACTATAGACACTTGAAAGTCCTTGGCAGAGATCACACAGCTAAAGAGAAGGGAAAATGTGATTCAAGCCAGGTCAAAACCATGTGCCCATGGTGCTGCAATATAACACAGCAGTTCAGATCATTGACCTCAAGCAGGAATGCTGAAATAATTTCATCTGGTATGTGAAACTTGATCAATAGTCAACTTAAATGCTGTGCCATTTAAGGCAGGAGAGCAGTCTGAGCTCTATCAGAAAGAGTGTTTTGGGGGTGCCTAGGTGGCTCAGTCAGTTAAGTGCCTGACTCTTGATTTCAGCTCAGGTTATATCTTACAGTCTGTGAGTTCAAGCTCCGAGTTGGGCTCCACACTGACAGTGCAGAGCTTGCTTGGGGTTCTCTTTCTCTCTCCCTGTCTCTCTGCCCCTCCCCTGCTCTCTTTGTCTCAAAAATAAATAAATAAACTTAAAAAAAAAAAAAGAGTGGTTTGGTTGCCTATTGGTGTCTGCTGTAAATTCAGGAAGAAGAGGTGACAGCTTGCATGCTGGGGATCTGCCATCTCAGACCTAAGAGACATAATACTGAAACAAGTGGAAATAAGAGCTAAGAGTATTAGAGCTATACTTCCCTGGAGTGCTGGTTCTCTGTGCCCCATAGACATTCTCCTCGTGCTTTGTTCCATATGAGAAGAAATTTTTCTTTTTACAATCTCTGTAGGCCCCAGTATTTTGATGGACTGAATTTTCAGCTGTTCCTCAGGGCTGCTTCCTTGGTTCCTGTCTGGGGGTATGGTGCAGTATATCATCAGTAGAGCTGGGAAACTAGATCCCCCTGGGTTGTCTTACTACTGCACTAGCCACTTTCCCCCTATTTAGAGAGGCTACAGTAATTAAACAGATCCTTGCGGGAGATGGTGTCCTGTAAGAAAGGGATCATGATTTGGAATTTGGAAGCCTAGGACTGACTCTCACTCTGTCACTTGCTCCATGTGTGACCTAATGACTTAACTTTTTTTGCATCTTTTATTTCTCATCTTTGGAAATGGATAAATCACCTTAATACCTATTTCACTAGTTTGCTGTGATACTTTAATGGGAGAATGTAGGTACAAATGTGTAAACTACCATGATCTGTGTGTTTTAGCTATCAGAGGCATGTGTAGCAGCTACTGGTCAATTTTATTAAATGTTTCACAGTTTCTTATGAAAAAAAAACAGTAAAGGTCATTCAGTGTTTAATATGTTCACTGCAGCCTCAGACTTCTGGTGCTTCATAAAAGTTCCAAGAGAGTACCATTGGTTTATGTCAGTTGAGACTCTAGTTACTGAACAAATATTAGGTAACATGCCAGTAATTTGATTTAGACTCCTACAGCCACACAGTTCAGGCTCTATCCTTCTCTCTTCATATTCAACACAAATCAAGAGGGAGGGCAAGTGGTAGTTGGAGACAGGCTCTAATGGTGCTCACTTACTAGTGACTGGGGAAGGAAGCCTACCACATCTATAGCTGAAGCAAAACCAGGATAAAAGGTGGAATCTTCTGGCATTCACTCAATGCCAAAAAAAATCTTGTCGTCGTCGTCGTCATCGTCTTCTTCTTCTTCTTACTGACTTGATCAGTGGTTCTTCTTACTCACTTGATCAGTGGTGCTTGTAGTTATTCCAGTGGGTTTTCTCTTTGATTTTTTTCCTCTTTGATTTTCAAAAAGAACCATTGGCATTTTGGTGTTGTAGTTACTAGAAATGTTGTACAATGTCAACCAAAGTAAAAGGGATATGGATAAAATAAATACACAGAAGTTCCAGTTTCATTAAGTGAACATTAAATAACATTGCTCTGTAGTAAAGCTGAAATAAACAATTATAACCCTCTACTTGAGAGTTCAGAGTAATGTGACAATCACTTTCTCCAAAAGTGTGAGGGAAGTCCTCTCCTTATCTTCTGTGAGCTCTCTTTATCCTCTCAGACTTCATGTTGTCATTCTTGGTTTCTCTCTTCATCCACCTCTTTTCTCCTCATGCCCCCTGTGGGAACTCAAAATGAATAAATCAGACTCCCTGAGAGTGGGATCCTTTCTACCTGGGTGTCCCATGAACAATTGAACACAACCTGTTTAAGACTGAATTTACAATTTCTGCCCTTCCTAAACCAACTTTTTCCCTACATTCCTTACCTCACCAAATATCCACACCATCTCTTAAGGAGCTCAATGGCAAAAACTTTAGTCATTTTTGACTACTCTCTCTCACATACCCCCATGTCCAATCAGTGCCCAAATTCTTGTCTTCCTAACTTTTAGAGATCTCCTCAGGTTGGCCCCTCCCCCTGCTACAATTTTCATTTAGCATACCCTCCCTGCTATTTCTTCTTGATGGCATTGCTATAGTAACTCAGTTTTCCTTTTTTCTAGTCTAGTTCCTTCCAGACAATATCTACATTCTTCATGGGTGATATGTGTGATCACATCACTCAAATGCATTAAGTCCTTCATTGCTTCCCTATTACCTCTTGAATAATGTGAAGATTCCTTAGCATAAAGGTAGGGCTGTTTTACCATGTTTCTTTCTGACCCTACTGAAATACTAATGGTTGTAAGTGAAGGATACATTCACAGAGGAATTCCATACCTTTGTGCTTTTGTAAAAGATGTTACTTTGCATACCTTTAACCCTTGGAGAATTCCTACTTATCCTTTAAGACTTAACTTGAATGTCATAATCTCTATGAAATCTTCCTCCTTTGTGTTCCTATAGCAACGTGTAAATACCTCCCTTGATAGCACCTGTGCTGTTTTATGATGTTCTTTTTCTAGAAACCATGAAATAATTTTATTCAATACAACCAAAGAAAGAACCAGAGAATTTCAAGACAGGTCAATAGAAATTACCCAAACTGGGGCACCTGGCTAGCTCAGTCGGAAGAGCATTTGACTTTTGATTTCGACATCATGAATTCGAGCCCCATGTTGGGTGTAGAGATTACTTATAAATAAATAAATAAATAAATAAATAAATAAATAAATAAATAAATAAATAAAGTTAAAAAAATTAACCAAACTGAAACACAGAGAGGGGGAAAGTGAAATAGAAAAGCAAAACCTAAACTGAGCATACTAAATGATCTAACATATATATTATTTGAATTCGGAATAGGAGGAGGAGGAGAAAAATGGCAGAAGAATTTAAGTTTAATTTAAGCTTAAGAAACAATTTTCTAGGGGCGCCTGAGTGGCTCAGTCCATTAAGCATCCAATTCTTGATTTTCGCTTAGGTCATGATCTCATGGTTCGTTAGATGGAGCCCCACATCAGGCTCTGCACTGACAGCATGGAGCCTGCTTGGTATTTCTTCTCTGCCCCTCCCATACTAGCACACATGCATTCACTCTCTGTCTCACTCTCTCTCAAAATAAATAAACTTTAAAAAATTCTCCAAAAATTAATGATGGATACTGAACCTCAGGTACAAGAAGCTCAGAGAAGGGTAAGTGCAAAAACAAACAGCACTTCTAAGCATATAATAATCAAACTTCTGCAAATGAGAGACAAAGAGAAAATCTTGAAGCCAGCCAGAGGGAAAAAAGACTCATTCTATATAGGGGAACAAAGATAAGAATTGCAGCACACTTCTTGTCAGAAGACTTGGAAGGCAGAAGACAATAAAGTGCTGACATGACAAAAAGTCAACAAACAATCCCATACCCAGAGAAAATACCTGTTAAAAGTGAGGAAATCAAGACTTCCTCAAATAAAAACTGAGAGAATTCATTGCCAGGAGACCTACAGTTCAAGAAATGTTAAGGGAAAACTCATTTTTTCTTATTTTTAATTGCTCAAAAAGAAAACTGTCTAAAGCACAATCAATAGGCATGTATTTTGTGTTTATAGCATATGTAAAAGTAAAATGTATGACAATGTAAACTAAAATTTTTTAAGAATGTACAGTGTATGAGCACAAAAGATGAGAGGTAAGATTTGGTAATATGCTATCATAAGGACTTTACCCCACATGTGAAGCAGTATGACAGAATTTGAAGGTGGAGTCTGATTAATTGAAGATGTATATTAAAGCAAGGCGGGATTGACGAAGAAACTGGGGAGAAGTTGTCATTTGAACTGCAGAAAGGTATGTGAAAAAGTCTACAAATAGGAGGAAGTTCTCCAGGGAAGATCCTGGAATTGTTAAGGCAACAAGGATGAGGGTTGATGCAATTGAAGTGTCAGAAGTACTTAGAATCTCTAGGCTGACGTGAGTTTAGATGACTTACGACAGCAAGCTGCCAAAGATTTGAACAGAGAAGAAGTACAGTAAACAGTATTTGAGGTGCATTATTATTCTAGCTGCTCTGTATAGAATGGACGTGCTTTCACATGTGCTTTCACAATCTTGGGAGGTCTGGCCAAAAATACACCACAGCAGGCATAGGAGAGAATATTCCATCTTCCTACTCTGTAGAAACTGTGATTCTTAATTTTGCTCCCCATTCCCAGCCATCAGTGCAGCATTACCCTACAGTCTTGTGGTCTGAACATGTCATATACCCTTTAAACTTGGTGGGTCTATGATGATCCAGTATGAAAAGGACCATGATTAAACAAGAAGGAACACTGTATTGCAGAGATCCCTAACTCTAGGGGAGCCGCCCTGGCAGAAAGCTTCAGATGGCTGTCTCCCTCAGAGATAAGCGCCCCTTGCAATGGATGTGGTTGGCATCTTCAGCACCCCCTGTGGATGCTTGTCCACATTAATCATCATTATTATCACAGACCCCAAAATGGAGAAGTTCCAGGTTTCTTGCTTCCTTTGCTGACAGCAGGTGACAACAGAATTATTAGTCCTTTGTATTTAGGAACTTTAAAGATCAGCATCAGAGGGGCACCTGGGTGGCTCAGTCAACTGAGCATCTGACTCTTGATTTTGGCTTGGGTCATGATCCCAGGGTCACAGGATCAAGCCCCACAACAGGCTTAGCGCTAAACATGGAGCCTGCTTGAAATTCTTTCTCTCTCTCTCTCTCCCTCTCCCTCTCCTCCTCTGCCCCTCCCCTACCTCACTCTCTCAAAAAAAAAAAAAAAAAAAAAAAAAAAAAAAAAAAAAAAAAAAAGATTAGCATCAGAGATGCCCAAGGGCTGGTACCCTACATAGACTCAAAGGACCACTGAGTGTCACATTCACATTCTTTGTTCCTAGTGATCCAAATAATCTTTGTGGTGGCAGTAGGAGACCCCACCAATGTAGCATACTTGAGGATAGAGAAGTATGTTCTGTCATGAATTTATTATTTAATTACTGCCTTTTTAAATTCCGTAACTTAAGATATTTGGGTTTAAGCAAGGCATATCTGTCTGAATGTGCACGGTGACTAGGCAAGGTGTCCATGTTGAAATTTGAAAACTAAATATAGGAGACAGAAACAAGAAATACAGTAGACTTTTTTAGTGCTATTTGATCTCCATGTTTCCACTGCATAACATTTCTCAGACTGTAACTTGTATATGCCACAAACCTAAAAAACATAAATAACTGATTTGGGTCAGTGCTTAAAAGTATGCAATTCACACAGTCCTTGAAAACCAACTGAGCCTAAAACATATTTGACTATTCCCTGTGGGAAGACTGGGTTTTCTATCTGTTTCTGTAGCATGTCAACAGCTTGCAGGGTTCCAAGGAACTAATAATTATTGATGACAGCATCCTGAAAGTTCCTATTGAGCCCACAGAGTAAAGAGTGTTTGAGAGTGTTAAGAAGGCACACAATGAATAAGGCAGCTGAAACATGATGGCTGCAAGGGCACAGCTCCTGTTTGGCGTCCTCCCTCTCAGGGCTTGGATGGCAAGGAGAACTGCTAAGTACATCACACCACAGCCCTTGAGGTGGGAAGGGGAGTGCAATAACAGGCACGACCCAAGCCTAGCGATCTCAGTGCCTCACTTCATGATAATAATAGCCACTTTTAAAAACATTTGCTGGGGCGCCTGAGTGGCTCAGTCAGTTGAGCGTCCGACTTTGGCTCAGGTCATGATCTCATGGTGTGTGAGTTTGGGCCCCGTGTCAGCTGTGCTGAGAGCTCAGACCTTGGAGCCTGCTTCGGATTCTGTGTCTCCCCCTGTCTCTGCCCGTCCCATGCTCATACTCTGTCTGTCTCTGTCTCTCAATAATAAATAAATGTTAAAAAATTAAAAAAAAAAAATAAAAGCATTTGCAGAGCACCAGATACCGTGCCAACCACTTTCTAGTCAGCTCTCCCAAGCCTCCGTGTCACTATTGGCACCATTGTTATCCCCCTTTTCACAGACTAGAAATGAGGCTTGGAGAAGGTACACAACTACTCAAGGTCACACAGCCAGTAAGTGGTAGAGCCAGGGCTGGAAACCAGTGACTGACTCTGGAGCCTGCATTTGCAACCTGTTGCATTCTACAACCTCTCACATGCCTGTATCTGGAGGATGTTCATTCAGCTCTTCACATAGTTACTATGTACAACACACTGTGTTAAGCCCCAGTGAAAAATTGTAAGCATATTTTTTCACTTGATGTGAGGAATAAGCATTTACCGAGCACCTCCACTGTACCACGCACGTTGCTAAGCACTGGAGCACAAACATGGTTACAACCAGCCTCAAGAAAAGCACTGACTAGGGACACCTGGATGGCTCAGTCAGTTAAGCGTCCGACTTTGGCTCAGGTCATGATCTTGTGGTACACAAGTTCAAGCCCCATGTCAGGCTCTTTGCTGACAGCTCAGAGCCTGGAGCCTGCTTCACATTCTGTGTCTCCCTCTCTCTCTGCCCCTCCCTCACTCATACTTTGTTTCTCTCTCTCTCTTTCTCTCTCTCTCTCTCTCAAAAATAAATAAAACATTAAAAAAAGAAAATCTCTGACTAGTAGTGAGACTAGATAACAGTACCGAGTACCCGGTGCTGTCAAGGTAGAGGTGTGCTGCGGAGACAGGCTCATCAAAGAAGGTCAGGGAAAGTCACCAGGAGGCGGTGGCCTTGAATCAAGTTATGAAGGAAACAGGAATTAGCTGGGTAAAGCATGGAGACCAAGAAGCTCTAGCCAGAGAGAACATGGAGGTGAAAGAATGGGATGGCCAGGAAGCAACAGATTTATTATAGCTGGAGTTTACACTGTGAGGAGGCAACGTGGAGGAGATTGTAGACTTACAATCATAACTCTACTTTTCAGTTTAATACTGTTATTGCTTTAAGGTTCAAGTTATCTCAGAATATTAATAAAGGAAGTTCTCTGTTTCTTAATCACAAGATTCGCTTTAGCCCAGATTCCAGTCATCCATTTATTTCTTCAACAAGTATTAAACTCTGACCAACTTTGTACAAGACACTGTGCTTGGCACCAGAGACTGCAAAGAACAAATCACAGACTCTGCTTTCAAAGACACCGCGTACGGGAGGGTGAGACAGATCTACAAATAGGCAGTTACTAAATATGTCTCTCTGGAGAAACCCATGGGCCCCAATGAAGTACATTCTGACATTTGAGAGGTCTCTTGGCAAAATGGCCTCATTCATAAATATGCCTGGTCGACCAAAGAGACTTTTAAGGGAAGCTTCCAGCATGGATTGAGTGCAATATAAACACAAGAAAACAGTGAACCTGAAAGAAATGGAGATATGCAGGAAATGAGAGGAAATATGAATACCATTCTAGTTACATCTTCGGAGTGATAGGAGAAAATAGTGTCGGCACAAAACAGGAGCAGGATGCACGAAAGAGCACTAATTATTTAACAGAAAATTGTAGTATAATATTATTGGCAGATCACAACAATAGGAAGTGGAAAGTGGTGGAAGAGATAAATTCTAAAATTGAGAACTCAAGAAATAGCAGGAAAAGTTTATCATTTATAATCACAATAACTTTCAGAAGAAACAGCTAATATAAAAATGTGGTTTGCCTGCACAAGAAAGAAGACTTAGTTTTTTTTTTTAAAGACTGTTATTTTTCGTTAAGCCTTTCAATAACATACTCTTTTTCTTTTTAACTCAGTGGATTTATTGCTTTAATCTAATTATGTTCAAATTAAAAAAAAGACTTGGAAGAGTCATAACCTTGTTTAATGTAATAGTTGTGTTCCTGGCAATGTGTAGATTAATTTTTATAAATCAATCAATATTAATTATCTTTGAATCCTTGTAGTAAGCCCAATAATTATAGTAAGCTCTGTGGAGGAATAGAGAATTGCAAGATAGTCCATTCCTTCCATGAATCTACAGGTTTTTTGGGGGGAAGACAGTATTATAAGGCAGCATATTCCAAATACTAATAAGACATTCCTGGGATGTCTTAGGATTTCAGAGAGGAGATGATGTGACGTGGGCTTCAGTTCACAGAGGAGGGAGATAGATTGCACATTGAGAAGAAGCGCGTGGTTAAGGGGAGGGGTGGGAAAGACTTTCCATGGAGACAACAGGAAGCACAAGGGAGTAAAGACAAGCAGCTCAGATGTGATTACGAGATGGATAGTGTATTAATTTGCTAGGGCTGCCATAACAAAACACCATAGGCTGAGTAGCTTAAACAGAAGTTTATTTTCTCACCATTCTGGAAGTCCAGAATCAAGATGTCAGCAGGTTTTCAGGTTTGGTTTTTCCTGAGACCTCTCTTTCTTGGCTTGTAGATGGCTGCCTTTTTCCTTTGTTCTTACATGGTCTTTCCTCTGTTTGTGTTGTCTGCTTTAACCTCCTTTCTTATAAGGACATCAATTATATTGGATTAGAGCCCACCTTAATGACCTCATTTTTACTTAATATCCTATTTATTTATTTATTTATTTATTTATTTATTTATTTTGAGAGAGAGAGAGAGAGAGAGCACAAGCTGGGGAGGGTCAGAGAGAGAGAGCAAGAGAGAATCCCAAGCAGTCTCTGCTCCGACAGCAAAGAGCCCAAGCAGTCATGACCAGAACCAAAACCAAGAGTCAGATGCTTAACTGGCTGAGCCACCCAGGTGCCCTTTTAATAACCTCTCTAAAGGCCCTATCTCCTCATACAGTTCACATTCTAAGGTATTGGGGGTGAAGGCTTGAACATATGAATGGGGTGGGGGGAAGAAGAGGGACACAATTCAGCCCACACCAGGTAGTAAACCAGCTTGGCAGCAGCATTAGACTTACGTTGAAAACAGTGGGGTGAAGTGGGAATCATTACAAAAGGGCAGTCTGGAGAGACAATGCCAGTGTGGATTTTATTTCAGAGGAAATAATAAGTCTCTGAACATATTTGAACAAGACACAGGCAAGATCAGCCCGGTGGAAGGTAGTATGTGGGATGTGATCGGGAGACCAGGCCAGAGGTTGGCAACGAGTCAAGCAGTTATTGCTACATTCCAGCCAGGAGAGGAGAGTGATTCTAACTGTAACAATGGCAGTGGCAATGGAAAGGAAGGATATTAGAACATTATAGATGGAAAAACTTCACAATATTCTCACCATCAAGGAACTTAAAAATTATATTTTATCCTAATTGTCATTGGAAATTTCTAGAGTGTCATTATGGCCGATTGGAACCTTTGGATTAGCATGAGCTAACCACTGTTAGTTTGCCAAGTTGGTGAGGGCAAGCAAAGAAATTCATGTTCTAATTGGTTTTCAGAGCATCTTTGTGAATAAAAGTACAGTTTCCATTAGGCATTCTGAAATACACAATACTTAAGAAAGACTTATGGATGCTTATCAGTGCTTTCTGAAACCCAAGGAGACTCCCAGGTTGGAAACCACTAACCGGACCCAGAAAGTCTCCATTTACAGGTGAAGAAACTTAAACAGATACATCCCGAATCACACTTGAAGTTATTAGCAGAATGAAGCCAGGAAGTGCTTCCCATATCTTGTTCAAAAGTAGTTATATTCTGCTGAGAATTAACAGAACTTGCTGTCTGACCAGTTTACCTTTAAGGAAAAACTAAGTCACTTAAGAAGCAAATAATGATCCCCTCATTTATCTTTTGCTTAAGACTGGATTTTCCATTATTAAAGGTTTACTTAAAGCAAGATAAACCATTATTTCTGGGTTAAAATTGGCTGGTAAAAAGCACCACCTGGATACTTTTTCTAACATTGATTTCTCAGGTACTTATTTTTTGTTATCCTGACATTTTAAACAAGAGCAAGCTTACTGGTTCTTGATACCTTCTGATGTAATGGCACATTAACAATCACATTGTTTAAAAGTTCCATTGTCATATACACAAATAAATGGGGCCTTAACTCAAGGTTTGAATTCCACTTATTCTACTCCATGACATTTTTTTTTCCTTCATAACTCTGCAAACAGAATATCACAAGTGTTGGGCATGTTAATTGCTTATTCAGCCCAACCTCAGAATTCTCCATAGTGACATCCATATTTTATGGTGTAAGTCCAGCTGCTAGATTAGCAGATGGTTGCCGTTAAAGGGAAGGAAAAGTAAAACAGCAGACACAGTTCTGCCCCTGTTAATGCTACAATTAGGGAACAAATTAATATTGGTATTTTCTTCTGAATTATCACTCCAGTCATGCTCTCTTTCTGTCAGTAAGCTCTTCTCAGCATTCAGGTAGAGCCTTTGCTGCCAAATCTTTAACATCTCAGCAACCCAAAATGCATGTAAAATATTCTAAGTCTTATCTTTTCTTTTTCAAATTAAGCATTCCTCATGTATGGAAAACTAGGATAATTTAGAATGAAATGTGGGAGAAATACTTTTAAAATCTTGTCAGCTGCAGAAAACCTGACATTTAAGAGAACTATTATGCGCTACTGAAAACAAAGTGTGGGAAGGATGAGATCTATTTTAAAAAAAAGAAGATTGATTGCGACCTTGAACTTTCTTCACTTGGCTGCAAGGAGAATGTGAAGTGGCAAATTTGGCAGGGCAACTCTAAGAGCTGCTCATCCGTGGGCAGGCTGCGTCACAGACCACAAATTCAGGAAGCAAATAGGGAATATCGGGGGACTGTGAGGAAAAGTAGAAGAGACAAACTGGACGGCTGGATGGAAGAGGAGCTTGCTCATGGAATGAGAACTAACCTGTCTGGAAAATAAGAGGCTTAGTGATAAGAAAATAGCATAAATAAGGATCTATAAAGTTTATCATGTTGATTATGGTAACTGACTTCTCAGACTAAACCAAAGCCTGAATCGCATAAGACTGTATTTGGGGGCCCTGAGATGTATTCAAACTAGGTAGCCCAAGGCTGATTTTCTGATGTTTCCCGAAGGAGACTGTAGAAACACTTTGATGTCAAACACTATTGGTGAAAGTCAAGACCACATCTGCCTGAAAGAAGAAAATGTGGGGACAGGGAAGGAATAGTAGCATTCAATTTTAAAACACATAGGACAG